AAAGGAGAAATTGATAAATCGAACTTTATTAAAATTAAAATCTTGTGTTCTGCAAAAGACAAATGGTAAGAGAGAAAAAAACAAACCAAAGACTGAAAAAACATTTGCAAAACACATATCTGATCAAGGACTTGAATCCAAAATATACAATAATCTCTTGAAACTCAATGATAAGAAAGCAAACAAACCAATAAAAAACAGAAAAAAAAACATCTTAACAGACACCTCATCAAAGAAGGCATACAGATGGAAAGTAAGGACATAAAATGTGCTCAACATCATATGTCATTAGGGAATTGCAAGTTAAAACAAATATGAAATATGTTTGTCCACCTATTAGAATGGCTAAAAACCAAAAAATGGCAATAGCAAATGCTGGCAAGGATGTGGAGTAACAGAAACTCTTATTCATTGCTGGTGGAAATGAAAAATTATACAGCCACTTTGGAAGACAGTTTGGCAGTTTCTTACAAAGCTAAACATAGCTTTACCGTACAATCTAGTTATTGCACTCTAAAGTATTTACTCAAATAAGTTAGAACATTTATATTTAGATAAAAATCTACATTTGGATGTTTATAGCAGATTTGTTCATAATCACCTAAAACTTGAAGCCACCAAGGTGTTCTTCAATACGTGAATAGATAAACTGTGGTGCATCTAGACAATTGATTATTATCCAACAATAAAAATAAATGAGCTATCAAGCTACAATAACCCATAGAGGAATCTTCAATATATATTACTAAGTGAAAAAAGCCAGTCTGAAAAGGCTACATACTATATGATTTCAATGATATGACATTCTAGAAAAGGCACAATTATAGATATAGTAAAATATTAGTGGTTGCCTGGAGTTTGAGGGTAGGCTTAGTGTGGAAGAAATGAATAGGTAAAGTTCAGGGTATTTTTAAGGTGGTGAAATTATTCTATATTATACTCTAATGTGGATACATAACAGTAATTTGTCAAAACCTATAGAATTATAAAAAAGTAGTTAACCTTCATGTAAACAATGGCCTTTAGTTTACAATAGTGTATCAATATTAGTTTATTAACTATTATAAATATACCACATTACTGTAAGATGAGTAGAACAGGGGAAACTGCAGCAAGAGGTGATAAATGGGAACTCTCTGAACTATCTTTTAAATTATTTTTTTTGGTAAATGAACATTAAAAAATAAAATATTTTAAAAAATAACCATTTTGTAATACATGATGTGTTTTTCTTATAAAACAAAGTGTAATAGTTTGTGTTGAAATGTCACCTCTTCCTTGTGCAAATAAGTAGCATTATATATAGGTCCCAGGTAAATTTTCTTTTAGTTGAAAGATTAAGTAGCTCTTACTGAATGTCTTTCACTGGCAGTATTACAGAATAGAAGTATGTAGTGTATGTAGTAGCAACATGGCTGCTGAGGGGCAGGTGGTGAAAGTAAAGCATTGAATACATAGGCCTTTATCACAAAGATAGCTATTTATGAATGCACATTTTGGGAACTTGTCCATTTCAGGAAATTTATTTTTAAGCAGTATTATGTTTCAAACTATTTTTGTTGGATTTAAAAAGTCACTTTCAAGATGAAAAATGAAACATACCAACAGCAATTTTCAAATGTTGAGACATTTTTTCTACAATATTGGTATAATAAGGATTACACATTTGGAAAATGCTTTCAATATTTTCATTGTGAAGAGTATTTTCATTTTTGTTGCTGGAACAACCAGACAGATGTGGGAAGACTGAGAAAATGTGAATTGCTCCTTCTCCACACAAAGAATACTTAAAATAACAATTATTCTCCCAATTATTAGCTTGAGAATTGGTGTTCTTTTGTTAGCCTGTGATCCACCTGTGCGTAGTTGGGTCAGACCATGGAAGATTAAAGACAATGTTAGAATGTGTCCCAGATCCTCTCCCACCTCACTTCCTCTCTGACCACTAGCCACCCATGTTATGACCCAGTTGGATCTAATCTCCCTCAGCAATTCTCCATTCGTCCCAAGCCTAGCTTTTTAGATTACATTGCCTCCTTTTCTTTGCATCAGGATTTTGCTTTGAATTTGCAAAATGACAAATTACAGGCTAATTCCATTTAATGTATTCGGTTGAAAACAGCCTTGATTAAACCCTACCTAGAGAGTTGTGGATTTTAAAGGGGATCTGAAACACAGCATCTTATCTTAAACAGATAAACTTTGAGTGTTAGAATTTTAGTTAATAAGTCAAGTCAGAGGATATTTCCAAGGGTGGGAAAATGTCCAGGTTTACCTAACCATAAGACTGCTGCTGGAGTGACCCCAGGCATTATGAGTGGAATTTATATAACAAGAGAAAGAGAAGCTCTTTACTCTCAGGGAGCTTTCCTGAAAAGTGAACCCTGTGCTTTGTGTCTAGGACATTATTAATTGTAAATGTTTTGCCTATTCCACCTGATATACTTTTAGCAACTTTGGATCAAATGAGTTCTAAGTTTGAATCAAAAAGCTTCATAGGCTCTATAGAGACATTGTTTCAATTACCTACTAGTAAAAATGAATAAGCTGGATATATAGACTAGTGAATGCATCAGATGAAGTATGATACAGAGCACTCCATTCACCCAGGTTCTCAGGTCTAGGAGCAAATTCACTCTTTAGAAAGTTGCTTAAAAATTAAAAAATAAGCAAAAAGCTTAGCCACAGCCAGACTTGTTATAAAACAAACTTTAGTTATACAAAAGTAACTTCCTTTTCAAAGAAAGCAGATATTCTCTCAGTACCTGAATATTCTAGTCCTCAGTACCTATATACTATTTAACACAATTCTAATATGTTTATCTTATTTCCTAAGCCACAGATGCAATAAACAAAGCAGAAGAAAATAGAATAGAAATAAGTGGCAGGCAAACAGAACATATCAAAAAGTTTTGGATGATAACATTTATTTAGAAAAGTTACTGATAATATTGTCTCCTTCTCCAATGCTGTTAAGTAAACAAAGCCTGTAGCCTGTGGGTGACTTGTAGCCTCAAGCTTATGCCCTTTGCTTTATACCATGATGTCATCAACAGCTAAGAATATTCTAATATCATAATCCTAGAAACTGGGGATGGAAAAGCTCTTTTAGGAGTTTATTCATAAGTTTCATTGGCATCTTTCTATTTTTCTTTCTATCATCTTGTGTCTTGTTAAGGAAAAAAATGGTTTGAGCTATATCATTTATATTTGCAATATTTTTTTCATAAAATATATGATCGTGTGTTTATTTCTCCATAGATCCAGGGCTGCACAGGCAGCTGTATTTTCTGCAAAGACCATCCAATGTAGTAGCCATTGAAGGGAAAGATGCAGTCCTGGAGTGTTGTGTTTCTGGTTATCCTCCACCGAGCTTTACCTGGTTACGGGGCGAGGAAGTCATCCAACTCAGGTATGATACATTTAAGACTTTTGTGAAGTATACACTACTGTTTATCTTTCTCTAATTTGATATAAGTACCTAGAAATACAAGAATTATTGAATAATGATTGAATATTTCCCATATTCCTAGACATGATATACTGTATGAGAGACATTTGGCTATGAAATGAAGGGATGAAGGAAAGAGTCAAAATCCATGAGACCAATTCTGAAAAAAAAAAAAAATTGAGAAAGGCAGAGTTGCTATTGAGATGGTCCTGTCCATCTTCAGTAAAAATATTTTAGAGAATGTCATCCTAAGGAAGTGGTTTAAGGAGAGGATCAATTTTAAATATTCTTACCACACAGATAACACAGAGAAAAAAAGATAACTACGAGAGGTGATGGATATGATAATTAGTTTGATTGTGGTAATTATATTTCAATCAATACATATACAAAAACATCACATTATACATTGTAAATATATGCCATTTTTATTTGTCAATTATACCTCAATGTAGCTGGAGGTAAAAAAGAAACCAAATTTTTCTAAGTTCAAATATGTAACGTGTCATTATGGGGTGTGAACAATTTTTTTAGCTCTAATTATCTCTCTCTCCATCCCACCTATAACAAATATTTAAGGCAAGACAGGAGAACTTGGCTGGCTTTGAATTGCAGGAACATTAATAATAAGGTACAGTTAAAAAGTAAGTTCCTAATAGAATGGAATACTTTTTGATTAAATGGATCTTACTTAAGAAATTAATTTCATTGATTTTCAGGACTGGTACACTCCTTTTTAACACATTTATTTTTTTATGATAGATAAGTCTGCAGGTAATAAATTAGCTTTTAAATTTCATCTACCTTAAATATTTATTTAGATAACAGCAATACATAGTATGGTATCACAATATTTCTGAGAATATTAAAACAAACATACAATAAATTCAGGTATAGCTTCAGCAGGTCATGATGTGTTCCCTGGATATAGCCAAGCACTCTAAGTGCAGTATAAAATATACCTTTGTACAAAGATCACCAAATCAGAAGTGAGGACACAGGACATTGACTTCTACAGATTATGGAATCCACAAACCAATTATGAAATCAGAAAGATACTCTGTATTATAGGGACTTGGTAACAACTTACTTATTGATCAAAAATTCATTCAAGGTTAACTACTGCCATTGGAAAGCTATGTACAGTAATCAAAGAAATGAAGTAGATCAAACTTGGAATTGGACTCTAGTGCTTTAAAAAGTACGTATCACGATAATCTAGTCCAATTCTCTCATTTTGGACTTGAGAACCTCAATCAACGTGTTTCCCCAGC